CCCTGCGGGGCCCAGGGCCTGGGACAAATTGCCCCACTTGCCCCCCCTTCTGGGTGGCCCTGAGTGACCGAGATGCAGGGCCTGGGCAGGGCTTGGGGGAGGCAGAAGCGGTGAAGGCACTGGAAAGCGGGAGGGAGGTGATGGGAACAGAGCGACAGTGAAGAGGACGGGGATTCTGGACGCTGCAGCTGATCCGCAGATTAACTAGCTCATTGTAGAGATGCCAGTCAGAAATGGAGGGAAATGTAGCCTCACAGAACCACAGGGCTGGAAGGGACCTCGAGAGGTCATCTAGTCCAGTGCCCTGCACGGAGGCAGGACTAAGTATCACCTAGACCATCCATGACAGGTGTCATCAGGTCGCCCCTCATGCGTCTCTTCTCTAGGCTAAGCATGCGGGACAGGACATTGTGGAGGGCAGGGAGAAGGCAGCGGCTGTGGTAATCCTAGAGGGAGATGGGTCCTCACTCCTGGGGATCTGGGATGGACTTGGCCCAGATAATTGGCACTAGCACAAGATCAGACGGTCTCTACTGGCTGACATCGCGTCAGTCCCATCGTATCCACACCTCAGTGCCGTGGCTGGACAGCACCTCCGCAGAGGGATTGGTTCACAACTCCAGCACGAATACCGTTTTCCTGCCATCCCGGTTAGTCCTCTCCCACCTGCCCCGCTGAGCTGCAGGTGTTTTCTGCGCAGCTGTGACGAGGTCACGTGGCCCTGCTGGAGCCATGAAATGGGTAGGATCCCTGCCGTGAACCCCAAGCTCGGCTCTCAGCTGGGGCTGTCACCCCAGGGTGGGTAGGGGACTCCAGCTGTGAGCACAGCTACCAGGAGCACCGGGAGGGCAGTCAGGTTCCTGGGAGGGAGCTCCCAGCAGGCTCTCAGCTCCCCGCACTGCCCCTCTGAAGTCAGTGGAAGCGCCCCTGGTGACCATGCACAGCCTCAACAGAAGGAGGTTAGTGTCGACTTCATTTCATAGTGTAGACGTGCCCTAAGACTTCACTTGGCGTTTCAGCCAAACCTCTCCGTGCTTGTCAGCTGAGCCTGCTGGGCTCTGGGGTGGTGGGAGACGATCAACACAGAGCCGCCTTTGCAGTCGCTTTTCAGACCGTTACATGCCTGGCCCGCGCTCGGGAACGAGTGTGCTGCCCCCTGGAGGTCAGCCAGGCGCTTGCAGCCAGAACAGCCCGGCGGGGGAGAGAGCACCGCTGGTGGCCACCTGGATGGCTTCTCGTCCTCCCTCTCCAGCTCAGCTCCCTGTCCCTGTAGAAACAGGTCAGTCCGAGGGTGGAGACGGGATTAGTTCTTGCTGTGAGCTCCAGGCTGACCTTTAAAGGGGTAGTACGCCCCTTCCTAGTCCTGTTCTGTGCCCCAGAATGGCAGCTCTGATCAGACGGGTTATAGCTGCTGACTGCCCGGGAGGCAGGTCATGGGCCCATGACCCCCGCTAGTTACTGTCTCCCTCTCGGCATATACCCGGACCCCAGAACCCACCTCCTTCCGGAGCCAGGCCGAAGAGCTGTCTGGTTCGGCGCTAGCCTGCCATTGCTGTGGGGGAGGATTGGCTCTGGGCGGCGGCTGCGTGTGTGGCGGGGCGTGGGCGGAGGGCAGGAGGCCAGCTCAGGGGAGCGGCATTTGGTTCTGCTCTCTCGTTTGTTTATTGGCTCCGTGGGCTTTTTAATGAGACCTATTACTGCATGCTAGGTGCTCAGAGACCTTGTGGGTTGGCACGGGGTGCCCAAGATATAATTTATTGTATTATTGGGCCAACTTCCTGTGGTTTGTTTAGACTTTGTGTAGGCAACACTCCTATTAAAGTCAGTGAATCTGCTTCTCATTGATGCAAAGGCCTGTAGCCATATAAAAAGGCCTCGCTTTGGCTCTGTTACATTTACACTCCCTATGAAGCCCCCTTTCGCTGTCAGGTGTAACGGGGAGTTAGGGTCAATGACAATCAGACCCATGTGAGGACTTGGCCCATAATTATGACTTGGTTATTAAGAATCATTGGTAACGAACGCAAGATGGGTTCTTAAGAATCATTGGTAACGAACTAGCTGGAGAACAGGGTGCAGGGCATTTGACAACCGGAATGTGGCACATCTGGAAACATCTCATTTTCCCTTCTAAATTAATGCATTCAATTGTGGAACGGCTGTGAAAAGGACCGTAAAAAACGACATCGTAGGGCTGGGTGTTGTCTCTCCAAGACTCCTGTGACTTTTCCTCTGTTACTTGTCAATTACCCCAGTGCAAAGAGAGGGTAAGAGGCTCCCAGATCAAAATTAGAGCGGGGCAAATAAAAGATTTTGCAGTTAATTGGATGTTCCAAAAAATGGTGGAGGAGGGGAATTCATTTGGGGTCAGGCCAAAAAATGAAAACGTTTGCAATTTTTCAGCAAGTCTAACACAAAAAACCGTCTCGGGTCGAACACAATGTTTCATTTTGACAAAATCAGAACGTTTTTATTTTGCCCGTTTCGAAACGCTTTTGCATTTGAAAAAAAAAATACAGTATGATGAAAGGACATTTTGTGACAAAGTCATGTCACACCAGAAAATCAAAGTACTTCATTTGGAGAACGTTGAAACGTTTCAATGTCTTTGGAATTAGTTTTTGTTTGTCGTTTTAACCGATTCGTGAAAGGTTTCGATGTCGCTGCCGCTGCATTTTTCACCACATAAAGTTTCTTCCAAAATGTCTCCTGGTTCTAATCAGAATGAGCGCAGCTTCCACCCACTCGGCACTGGTGTAATGCGGGTTGCAGCCCGAGCCTGAATGTTTACATCACAATTTAACAGCCGGCCCCAGGTTTTTAATTGCAATATAGACACACCCTGAGGTTCTTTCCTTCTCATGCATCAACACCACTAACAAAGGGGTGGTTGGTGTGTCAGATTAGCCCTTCTCTTATCCATGGGCTTCCCCTGCTTTGAAACGTAGGCCCTTGAAGAGACTGCAGAACCCAGATGTCCTCAGGGAGTTTGCACAGGTGTAACTGCTTGGAAATTTGTAAACAATTCTATTGACAGTGCCCAAGGAAGAACAGATTCTAGTTCACTCTCCCTTAGCTGAGCTGTTTTTGCCGGGCAAACAATAAAGAGCAGTGAAAGTTGTGTAAGGGCAGGTCTGCACTTAACTCTGCACCCATGCAGATGCGCCATCTTCAGTGAAGACGCTCTACGCCGACGGGAGAGAGCTCTCCCATTGGCGAAGTTAATCCACCTCTGCAAGAGGCAGTTGCTACGCTCGTGGGAGAAGTTCTCCTGCCATCCTAGTGTTGTCCATACTGGCGCTTGGGTCGGTGTACCTACGTCGGTGAGGGGAGTGGATTATTCTCACCCCTGAGCGATGTAGTTAGGGCTATGTCTCTAACAGGGCTGGTCAGGAATTTTTCAGCAAGCTGTGTTTGGCTGGAAAATGTCAATTCGTTGAGACCGAAACCGTTGGCAAAACGGGGCTGATTTTGCCGAATCTCCTGACCTGAGACATTATTGGGAAGAAGTGTTTTGAAATTGTCAAAATGTCCCACCTCCACATTTTGGACATGGAAAATTCAGGTTGTTTGAGTTGAAACCGTTTTTCATTTTGAAATTTGAGGACATTCCGAGGTTTAAAAAAGGAAAAAAGATTGAAAACAACATGTTTCAAAACTATCAAAACGGAATGTTTCAAAATTATGGAATTAAAATGTTTTAATTCACCTAAACCAATGTTTTTTTGGGGTGGGTTTTTTTTTGGATTTTCAGGTCTCCCAAATTTTTGAGATTTTGACCCTTCTTCCCGATTCAGGCTGGGGAATTTTTTTGATATCTCCAAAACTCTCCCTCTAGGGGAAAATCATTTCCCGCCCAGCTCTAGTCACTGCTGTAAAGGGGCCGAGCTCGGAAGACTTTCTCTCCTCATTAGACCAGGGCAAAGCGGGCGTGAAGTGCTACTGGCTCAGAATGGCGTTTGCTTTGCACTGGAGTAAGCGACTCCCCGAGGCTCAGAGCAAAGGAAGGATCAGGCAAAAGATCTTTGGAAAAGAAGCGAAGTGCGAATTGCTTCCGTGGGTGGTTGTTGGCAGCAGCTTCTAAACCCATCTTGTTCCGGAGGTAGCGATCAGATTTAGCAACCCTACTCAGCACTCACATCCTTGCTGTTCTGGCTGGACTGGGGTTTTTTGGGACTGAATTATGGATATTTATCTGGAGGCCAAACATGCTGGCCCCTAGTTCTATTTTTTTTTTAAAGGGATTTAAACCCATCAGGCTAGACTGTGCATTGCCCGGCATGGGAAATGATCCATCACCTGCAATCCCAGATAGAATCCTTCTCGCCTCATCCAGAATTCCTCTGGGGGAGCACCAGGGAGATCTCCTGCCTTTTGAAAGGTGCAGCTGAGATGCCGCCTGCATCCGGGTGGCTCTGCTGGCTGGGGTGAGGAGGGGGCGCCTGGCACACAGAAAGCGTGTGCGTTGTACCCCCTCTGCACGGCCTTCTCGCACCGGGCGGCGCCTGTGTCCTGGCCCCTAACCCCTTCCCAGGGCACATACGTGCGTTCCTGTGCCCTCCTTTCCCCCGTCCGCCCTCGCTAGCGCCTGGTACAATCTGCTCCTCATGACTGATTCTCTGTAAACGTCCTCTGTCCCACAAGCAGAGCGGCCTGCTCCCGTGATGGGAAAGTGATGGCACGAATGAGGTCCGTTGTTGAGAGCTTGGGGCTGCGAATCGGGACGCCTGGGTTCTGACTCGCTGCTGGGCTCTGGGCGAGTCACGTCCCCTCTCCGTGCCTCAGTTTCCCATTATAAAATAGGGATGAGGAGGATACTGACCTGAGGGAGGGGGGTGAGTCCGACCGAAGGAATGCGTGTGATTGCTCTGAGATCCCCAGGGAAGGTTGCTCAGAAACCCATGGCACGACCGTTATTACAGGGGACCTGTCCGCGGGGAGGTGTTGGGGGCCGGGGGAGAGGCTTTGTAATAAGGATATTTGTTTTGCCTGTTTTGCAGAGTTTCAATGTTCTGACTTGCTCTAAGATGAAGGTATGGAAGTTTGCAGCCATTGCCTCGATGCTCCTCAGTTCCATGTTGTCCATTTTAGTTTGTAGAGACATGCTCAACGGAAGCCGGAAATACAGCCCCTTCCCTTCCTCGCCGTCAAGGTCAGCCTCCTCTTCTGCCTTGCCTGTAGGTCAGCGGAGAACCCCGCGATCGCTGGAGCACCGTGACCCGCTGATCTCTCAATGTAAGCAATAGCATGGTTTGCCTTGACTC